GGGTTTCGCCATCCCAGGGCAGAGCAGAGGCTCCGTGCCCATCGCAGGGGTCCCAGGGCATCGCTGCCCTGGCTGCCGGCGCTGGGCCAAGGGTGCTGGGCTACGGAGCTTTTTCTCTGCATGGGGTGAGACGCTCCGGCCCCTTCTGGGGGGTTTGGGTGGGAAGGGCGAGCCCGGAGGAGGGCTGGCTCGATCCGAAGGTCTCCCCGTGGGGGGCAGGGAGGTGTTGCCTTGTCCTCGAAGGGCTGTGTGGCTTCAAGGCCCTGCTGGCGTGTCCCCCGCTCCCCAGGCTGCTCCGCAGCTTCGGAAAGTGGGAAAACAACCCCCAAGCTGCCTCTTCCCAAAGGAGCCAGGCTGTACCTGGTGACAAACCGAACCCTTGGCGTGCCTGGGATCAGCAAAATGTTGCTGCCAGGAATAAGATTTTCTCTGGCAGAGCAAAACCAGGGCTTGCTTCGGAGCAGCTCCTTGCTGCTTTCTGTCCCCTCCGTCCCAGCGACCGGGGGGCCAGGGCCGAGCTCCGGCGGTGCCGGGGCTGAGCCGCCGCTAGATGCTGCTCTTGGCCAGGGTCCCTGCGCCGAGCCTTCCCCGCCAGCTTGGCTTTCCTCAGCTGGAGCGAGCTTAGTCCTTTCCCTCTTGGCCATCCTGGATCTCTCCCTCATCCTTTTGATCGTGCCCCTAAACCCCCGTGCGCCCCCGTTGGACCCTCTGCTGGACGGGAGACCCGGGTGACGTCCAGCTCAGAGAAGTTCTGGAGCAGGAGCTGGATGGAGGAGGCTTTGGTGATGGAGATCCCCGTGTGTTTCCTCTGCAGGACGAGACACCGGGTACAATTCCAGCGTCCCGGCTTCCCAGGCGGAAGAGGCGAATCTGTACAAGGAGCCGCCGGACCCCTCGGCCATCTATGAAGAACCCCCTCAGGTTGGGGCATGGGGGGGACCCCAGGGGGGGAAGGGGACCCGGGAGCTGGCCAGGATCCTCAGGTGGGAGGGCATGGCTGTGCCTCATCTTTTAGGATGAGTCTGGAACCCTCCTGCAAGCGCCTCGTCCCCTTGGGTACAAACACCCCCTCCGGCGCTCCGAGCCCAGCTAAAATCAGTGGGAAAAGCAAAAAAAGAAAAAACTCCGGAGCTCATGTTCGCTCTGGTCGCACCCGCGCGGAAAGGGGATGTGGCTGCCTCCCTTCCTGGCGCTGACGGTGGGAGCTGCTGGCGCTGAGCCCCCATCGCCCCGGGGTGCTCCGCCAGGTGCCCCTGTCTGGAGCCGACAAAGCCCAGCTATTCCTGGCGCGGCGTTGGATTCTCCAGCGTCTAATAGCGGGGTTGTGCCATGCTCCGGCCTTTCCCTCGGAGATGCGGTGGCTGCTTGGCTTCCCCCCGCCTCCATTCCTCCCCCAGCCCCACAAGCATTGCAAAGCTCCTGCACTTTCTCTCATTCCCAAATTAGTCTGGAAGTGTCTGGTTCCCAGGGAGTGGGAGGGGGGCTGAGGGAGCGCCTCGGCCCCCCTGTACCAAAGAAAAGCAAAGAGCAGCCAGCTCAGGTCTCCAAACGAGGGAGAAACGCTTGGAAAAGCGGTGCCGGAGCTCATCCAGCTTCAGCGGGCTTGAGCGCGGGGGTGATGAGCCCCGGTCCGCAGCGGGGATCCCGAGGGGTCGCCTGCCGGGCTCCGGCATTTCTGGTTGCGATGCTGGCCGCCGGGCTGCCGGCTCCGCAGGATCG